AAGTGAACCTACATAGTCACTGAGGTTGAAAAAAGACACACACAAAAAAGACACACATCCATTGAGTTCTCCCAATAGACAAAAATAAGGATAACAACCTGCATCCTCAGAACCCTGAAACCCGTAGTTGATCCAGAGGAAGGTAAGACATCCTTAAGGTCCCCACATACCTTACAATAATCGTACGATAATCGCGGGAAATCCCGCAATCGTACGATTATCGTAAGGTGTGTGGAAGCCGTGCGACCTCTACTACTGTAAGGTCGCACGACTTTAAACTTCTGAACATGTTTGCAAACCCGCCGAGCATCGTACGATGTTCGGGGGGTGTGAAGCATGTTCGTAAGATAAAAGCCGGACGGGCCGGTGTGCGCAAGCGCACACTGCCCGTTCAGCATTGCGGTCATCGGAAGCCCGCCCCTCAGGGGGCATGGCTTGCGATCATCGCAAGTACGATCTGCCTGTCCAAGATGGGCAGATCGTACGTTTTTTTAAGTACCTTACAACCATCGCAAGACAAAAGTCTTGCGATGGTTGTAAGGTGTGTGCCCAGCCTTAGGCCTTCTGTGTTGCTTTTACACACCTGCTTTAAATCTATTCCCATGCGTGCACTGTATAAAGGCAGCCCATTGATATTGAATAGACTGAAGCTCACCTGAACACGCAAAAAATTGGACGCCATTTTATTTGACACAGCAATGCAATGCATGCTATTTGTATTCTGATATGCAATGGAGTTCTATTCACAATGAATGTCACTGCAATGCACTACACTGTGGTATATGTGTTGACACCAATCTGAATGGCTCTTCTAAAGTTTGGTTCAATAGGGAAATAAAATCAGAACTGAAAATTATACTATTTTCCACAGCGCATCACAACATTGCAATTTTAGATGCATTGTATTGTGTTTAATGGTCATGTGTGAATATGTGCTGGAGACTATTAGAAAGAAATGGAGACACTTATTGTCCAAAGTGCTTTACAATGCATGTCAATGTTTGTGGTAACACATATAGCCAGTCAAAAGTCACTGACTCCAAACAAGTACGTAGATAAAGACGTCTGACTTTCCTGATCTGAATATGTGTTGACCATCTCTGACTTAGGGGGTATTGAAGGTAAAGAACAGCATAGCAGTCAGGCTATTTACATTTTTAGAAGGAGATTGGTATTGGCAGGTCTCATATTTGTCTTGGGACAGGTTCACTTTAAGGTCCTGAGATCTCTCAGGTGGTTTAATAAAGTCAGACCCTCCCAGTCAGGAACCAGTCTGAGAGATGACAGGGCAAACACAACAGAAAAGGGTGAGTCTGCAAAAATGCTGCTAAAATGCTAATAATGTAGATATAGATCACCTGGAGGGCTTCTTCTTTTTATGCTGCAACAAATCACCAGTTACACTTGAAAGGGAGAAATATGAAGGATACCATGGCCTACATCTCTTGGCTGTTTCTGGCTTCAATTCCTTCAGAGTCACTGACATGGCACATGCAAGGAATGAATTGGAACTCTTCATCTATATCCTTGTTCGAAGTAAAGTACAGAAGCCTTTGGAACAGCATGACAAGCAGGCAACCGGCCTTTTTAAATGGCATCCTACATGTATCTTTCCAGCCGTGTAGACTAGATGTTTGGTTGTCTGTACCAGTGCATTATACCTTCTTGCATACAACTTGTAGTTCACACATTTTGTGTTGTAGGATGGAATTAGTCTTTTAACAAAACCTGTCCTAAAGAGAAACATGGGAACAGCAATTGCTGACCTACTGTGAACAAATATCCAGATCAGGGCTTTACTGTGACTTTCCTGATCTGCATAGTTGGTCCAGGACATTGACTCAGGAAGAACTGAAGCCAGAGGATAAGCATAACAAACAGGGAACTGGCATTTTTAGAAGCAGGTAAACAATGGTAGGAATTGTTTACTTTAAACAGGTCTGGAGAAGAGGTAATTATGGTAAGGGTTACTGGTGCAATATACACCTGTCACTCTGTATGATGAGCTTATTACCATCCTGACACACTGACCCGACAGGAAGTATGATGATGGACAAGCACACAGGCATTGGCTAACAGACGTTGCACAGCACTATACCCCTTCATTAGGAAGTGCCCAGACTTGCTCATGCGCATTGAATTGCTACTCACCTGAGGCTGCGTCCCTGACAATTATTGGCTGCCAGTCTGTTAGCAGAACTGTGATTTATAGGAGTCCAGATCAATACAGCTAGCTCACTCTGCTGTGTGTAAGTTCAGGGTTTAAGCGGTCCTATCACACAGGCACAATGCCGGTGATCATCCGGTGATGTGATGGGATAGGAGCTAACTATCTCAAATGAGGCCCTCCTAGGACAGCAGTAAAACCTGACTGAGGATCTAACCCTTGCCTGCAAGGTCCAAAACGACTTTAAAGCACAATATATTCAACAGGGTTATGTTGTACCTAAAGTGACACTAAACTCAGGAGTTAAATCTTACAGATGCTTTCAAGTACCCTAACTATTAACAAAAATGTGTCTTATTTGTGTATCACTGGGCTGTAGATCCTCAAATCATCTCTGAATTGGTGCTGACACTGTCCTTCCTTCTGGAGGGGGGCTACTTTTGTTCCCCATGGTCCCTGTGTGTGTTGTAAAGTAGCGACCGTTTCAAACTCACTCCCGTGATATACTAACTTCAATACAAACTAGCAACCTAAACATGAGATTGTAGTCCCACTATTTGTACAGCACTAGCACCCCTATATGGCGTTGATGAGTACAGGAAATTCCTATACTTGTCAATGCTATCTGGGGCACTAGTGCCATGCGAACGGCATACGCCTGGCCATCTCCTTAGCGTTAACAATAAAAAATTAGGGTTTAATGGTCGAAGAGGCTTTAAATGCCCCTTATTCCTTTTCTGTTAACAATAAGGTATAGTAAAAAAAGATATTGGGATTATGTAACACCCGTGTGCATGCGTCACATCATTACTGGATGACCAATGGCTAAAAAAAGAAACTGCTGGACCCAGAAGAACAACAAAAGATGGCAGCAATGATGGGAGGAAGCGTACTTTGCCTCTGGTGGAGGGCATACTAGGAGGTATGTCTGCTATAATGTTCAAGCCTACCGAGCATACTTACACACTATGGCAAGACCTCCGGGGGCAACATGCAGAGTCAGTTTTGCCCATCAAGGGCCCATTCATTCCACAGTGCGTGTGTTAACATGCGTTGCTGTCCCTTAGTTGCCTTTAATTTTTTAGCATTTCATGTTATTTTATACTGTAGCGCGTTACAGTGTCTTGGAATGCAGTTGGCACAAATAAAACATGTCCTATTTATATGCAGCATGCACCAATGCGCTCTGTCGGAACTGATACCATAGGAGACACATTGCCTTGTTCTTGTGTTAGGACTGCATTGGGACCTTAGGAATTTGAGGCTCAATGGAATGCCTGTATGATCTTCTCCATTACTCTTTCCTAGACAATAAAAGTGAGATCACCTTACCCACATGGGAGGATAGAGTGTGTGCATTTTGGGTGAACAGAAAATGGACAGTTCTAAACAGTCAGTGGCACATGCCTCTGAACCCCTTTAAACTGCATTATTTGGGGGGGGGGGGGGCATATAAATATGACATCCTTCTTCACTGCCTATTTTCCCACTATGAAGAAGGGCCTGCGAGGTACCCATATACCGCAGCCTCTGTTCTCAGGAACAGCTTTGTATACTATCTGCCAGGGCAGAAATGCAGTCCAGTGTTATACCTGAACTCAGGGCTGGGAACTGGCACACTGTCTGGGCTGCTAGTGCAGGGCTAAACTTTCAATTAACAAAATCATTACTTTTCACAGCACCTTTTGTTCTCTCCATACTTTGCTCAGGCATCAGATAGAATGGTCTTACAACCTGAAACTAACTACAACAGGTAGAATATACAAGTAAATAAAAAAAAAATAAAAAAAAAATTCCTGAGAGGTAAATCTGCAATATTACAATGTTTTTAAAAGTGAAGATGCAGAGTTTTACTAGTGACTTTTTTAAATGAATATCAACCCTATCCTAATTGGACTGAATTAATCAGTATGGCACTCTCATTTTTACACTATCTTCTTCCACCCAGCTATACACAGGTCAAATGATGTTCGCACAGCATTGTTGCCTGTGGATCGGGTCGTGGCTCCATATTGTGGTGGGAATGCCGTACAAATGGCAATTGCCCAGCATATAGCTGGGCAGAAGATTTATAAATTGGCCCCCTACTGTCATGACAGGAATAAAGGATAATAACCAGCACAGTGCCCTGGTCTCGAAACGTTGGCTCTTGTGATTGTGTGACGTCTATGTCCAATAAATGGACATGTTAGATTATTCTACTAAGTGCTGGTAATTCCTCTTCCTATATTAGGTCTTCTTGTCCAACATCAGTACCCGACCACACAAATGCTCTTATGGATAATTCGTCACAAATTCTCATAGACACTTGTTAAAACATTGTGCAAAGCTTTCCCAGAAAAGTGGATAACTGCAAAGGAGGGAACAACTCCATATTCATGCCCATGATTTTCAGATGGACTCTCCAACAAGCCAGTATAGGGTATGATGGTCAGGTGTCCACAAACATATGGCTGTATAGTGTATCGTTGCATAATCGGCTATACTGTTCTTCGATCACAATTGCTTGAATACATGAACTGGAGACCGATCGGTTCTACACGCAAATCTTTGAATCAGAAATTGTCAAGTCTTTGGTTGGTTATCTGGTGTGGGCTCCGGTTTTGACTTATTACTAACAGCATTCCGGCTGTGTCAGTGTATAATCTAAGGGAAAGGGCACTGTAAAGCTAGCCACACACATTGCAATCTACATGTACAGTGTCTGTACAACATTATATGGATTAGGTCTGGACCCCATATTTTGTTGAGGCGTCCCTGCTAAAAAACACAACTTTGTCTACCTGAGCAAGAATTGACCATAATAAAAACAATGACATTTTGTTCTCTTTACCTTGACAAAAAGCTGGATTTTTTGTTTCTCTGCCATGGTGCAACTTGCTTTGGACAATGCGGCGTGCAATTTTTTTCCTCCCTGCGATATTGTTGGCTGTACGTCTGTCAAGGTCTGATCTGGTTTGCAGAACAGCAAGTGTGAACACTGCCTCTGCTTCTCCCTATTAGTCTTAGTGGCTGACACTCCCTTTTGTATCAAAACCTGCACAGACCACATTCCTCCATACCGCATGTCAGACAAGGATGCTGCTGCTGCTGACACTTGATGTTCCAGTACAGGCTGCCCTGCTTATTCCACCCACAGCTTCCCCTGACCACCCAAAAACGGCTCACCCTAGGGGACATTCCTGCACTATATTGAATTCTTCTCGTTCCTATTAGAAAGATAATTTGCATAATATTGTGCTACCTGTAGATTATTTTGGATCCACCCAGGTGATCATCTCAAGACTTGACTTTATCCATACTTATATGACACTTACCTACATGTAGTTCAAGCTGAACTTCATCATTATCTTTGGTCATGCCCAATTGTACAGGCTCCTCTCCTATACTAACATTGCTTAGTTTGATTTCACTGCAAACCGTGGGCTTCTTCCCCCTTATTTCTTGCCTGAGGGGCATCCAGCATCATCTAGTTTTTTTTTTCCTCCTGAGCTATACATTAAAAGATTGAATTTATTTTGTTCAGGAAAAAAAAATCTAACAGTTCCCTCCATCCATATTAGACAGCGACATGTCCCAGATCTCGATAAGTATGCATTTGTGGAGGGAACGGGTGTGTTCTGTTAGGTCAGGGGAGAAGGGCAAAAAGAATAAGTACCCTTTCTCTGAAAGTGCACCTGTTGTTCTTCAAGGCCCCCTTGCGATAAACATTCTGGTAAACCCCACACTGACCCTCATATTAACCTTCAAACTGACCCCCCACCCCCCCTGAAAGCTCCCAATGATCCCTCATTTAGAGAGACTGTCTCCCTTTTGGAACCAAACCCTTCTGTCTCTTGTTCCTTGTGCAAATTTCCACATTTGAGAAGTATCCCCTTTTGGGTAATTGATCTTAACATCCTTTTCCACAGACAGTGACAAAGTTTGGACTTCTGTTCCATTGGCAATAGGGGTAAATATTGAGGGGAAATGTCACCAGTGGGAACATGGACAGCTATAAAAGTACTGACGCATATCATGTCCATACAAAAAATGTCGTCTGAACTTCTGATAATGCCATCAGAGATTAATTTCATTTGAAGTCGCGCTTGATGTCACCATTCAATTATGAAATGAATAGAGAAAAAATCTCACTCTTGCTACTACTTTTTTTTTGCCACTTTGATTTAAATAGATCCCCATTATGAACCCATTTACTGTTAGAAAATGAAATGAAGGTTCCAAAAACATTTTTTTAATTGGGGACATCTCCCTGGTGTATGGCCATCTTAACCGTTCCCCACTCTTCATTTACACCTCATTCAAACTAGACCTTCTCTTGACTATCGTTATAGGGCTTTGCTACACCCCAAAATACTTTGCTGCATCCTCTGCTGAGGTTGGAGAGTGCTGCTCTGTACGTGCCTGGCAAGTACAAACGGTAGTAATTATGTTTTTTTCTACACAGAGGGGCTCCATTCTTAGGGATGATCCATCAGAGGGTTGCCTTGCACCTCAACATACATATGAAAGCCTTTCTGATCGGTGAAGAATTGCACAGTTCAGGAGTCTGGGCAGTCGTGTCTTTCAGTGTGTCAGCACCTGATATACAAGTATTCAGTAATAATATTTGGCAGAGCTGGCCTGTAATGCAACATCTGTTTTGGGGTGTTTTTTTGGGTGTATCACGGTATATCTCATTTTTGTCTGCTGCCTTCTCAGGGTTAGTGAGCATTACAGCACTGTATTGACTTTTCTTCAGCCCCCACCCCTGCTGGAGGCACGCTGATTGTTTCTTCTAAAAATAAATATAGTAAAACATTAACATGACTTGAAATATAGAACTTTCTGCAAAACAGGCACAGACCTGTAAAGGACATACATGGCAACAAGGTCGTGTGATGGAAGGAAAAGGTTCTGCGGAACAGAAAAGAGATTAGTATTAAACCAGGCGCAGGACTGTAACAGGAAAACAAGACAGGAGCCTGGGGCATCGCTGTCATCAGAATAGACATGTCTTCATTATGCTTCCTTTTTCTTCTTCACTCTTGTTTCTTGTCTTTGATTGAAAAAAAAACTCTTTACCTTTTTTTTTCTTTCATTCCTTTTGTGTCTCCTTTCCCTTTTTCATCCCATCCTTTCTTTTTTTTTCCCTTTTTTTACTTTTTCATCCCTTTTTCATTCTCCTTTCCTTTTTTTCTCATTCCTGTCCTTTTCCTCTCCATATTCCTTCCCCTTTTCCTTTTTCCTCCATAAAATTTCCCCATTTATTTTTTTCTTTTCCCTCTTTCTTTTACTTTCCCCTTCTTATTTTCCTTTTTTCTCTTGCCTTTTCCCCTTACATTTCCTCTTCCCTTTCCCCTTACTTTTCCTCTTCCATTTCCCCTTACTTTTTCTCTTCTCTTTTTCTTTCCCCTGCTGTTTTCATTTTCCCTCCTTCCGTTTTCTCTTCCCTTTTTTCCCTTCACTTTTTTCCTTTTTTTCTCTTCCTTTTTTTCTCTTCCCTTTTCCCTTTTACCTTTTCTATTCTCCTTTTTTCTTTTCCTTTTCATTTTCCCTTACCCTTTACTTTTTCTATTCCCTTTTTTCCTTTTGCTCTTTTCTTGTTCTCTAAACTTTTGCCTTTTTATTTTTCCTTTCCCACTTCTCTTTCACTTTTACTTGTAATTTTGTTCTTTTACTTTTTTCTTTTCCCCTTTCTCTCTCTTTTTTTTTTTCTATCCCTAAAATTTTCCCTTTCCTTTTCCTTTACCCATTACTTTTCCTTTTCCCTTTTTTTAATACCCCCTTTTCCTTGACTTACTCAATGCCTTTTTATTTTTCTCATTCCCATTCCGTCACCTTTCCTTTTTATCTTTTCTCTTTGTATCCCTATTCCTTTCCTATTTCTTTTCCCTTCACTTTTCCTTTTTTACTTTTCCTTCCCCCATACATTTGGAAAAAGGGTTATTGTGTACCTTTTTCCTTCTACTTTTAACAACTCCTTCCCCTTTCCTCCCCCTTTCATCTATTTCCCACCTTTTTATATTTGCTTTTAAAAAAAAATGTATTTAATAAACATCTTATTTCCTCTTAGATATGATACAATTTTACACAGCTTGCTGAGATCAAGTGACAATTTCGTGTCTCTGAAGATCCTGCAGGCAGTACTGGCCAGTTAGAGGGCATTGCCGGATCATTATTGTTTTGCCCCGATGAGTTGGTGCTGGAGGTGTCCTCACAGCGCCTGCACCTCTCTTGCCTCTCTCTGCTGATGTGATGTGAAAATTTGTGTTGGGACCTGCTAGAATAAAAAGATGTATTTGTACATTTGCAGAGCAGTTTTCTGTATTGAACATAAATAACTGTCTGTCTAATGTAATCATGTGAGTATTGTTGCCATCTCTGAAACAAACAGGTAACAGAGTCATGTGCCTAATAATAGGAGAGCTGGTACAAACCCATGACTTACAACAGTATTTATAGTGGTAAACCTGTGTAATCCGCACCTTGAAAGGACCGGATCAAAGCATACAAAGGACAAAAAAGACTGAATACATTACAACTGAGCCGGGTGGGGATTTTACAAGATATACACAATATTCCACCTGTCTGCAGGCACATGAAGCAGCCTGCCTTATTTAACTGTAACTAATATATTCCCAGGCAGTCATCATTCAGGGTTAGTATAATAAAGTTTACTGGAAAGTCCTTTTGGACTTGTCTAGTTTCCACAGTTTTTTTTCTGTGCCATATTTTCATTATATTACTTCTCTATCAGGGGTAGGCAATCTTGGCACTCCAGCTGTAATTAAACTACAAATCCCATGAAGCCTCTGGGGGTCATGCCTGTTGCTGTCAGTCTTGCAGTGCCTCATGGGACTTGTAGTTCCACAACAGCTGGCGTGCCAGGGTTGCTTACCTCTGCCCTAAAGTGTTGAGGTTGGTTGGCTTTTTGCACTGGGGCTGCAAAGCAACTGGGCAACTTTAAAGTGGTTCTCAAGGGAAAAATTCCCTGGAGTAGACATGTGCATTTGTTCTCGGACGAAAACTGGCATTTTATGAAACAAATAGATTCAAACCTATCCGAATTTTTGATAAAACAATATCGGGTATATCGGACTTTTGTCAAAAAAGACAGCTTAGAGTGTCCCCCCCCCCAATTCATACCAGGCATTTTAGGTCTGGTAGGAATTTTAGGGGGGACTCTGTGCTAAAAAAAAATGCAAGGGGTCCTCCCTAACATCCCTTACCAGACCCTTGATCTGAGCAACAGCTTGGCAGAGCAGGAAGGGGGGGGGGGGGCGATCGTGCACCCCCCTCCTGCACCATACCAGGCCACATGCCCTTAATATGGGGAGGGTGCTTCATCAGAGCGGACCCCCTGGCAAAGCATCTTGTCCCCATGTTGATGAGGACAAGGGTATCTTCCCCACAACCTTGGCCCAGTGGTTGTGGGGGGCAGGGGAGTTTCGTAAAGGGGGCACCCAGACCCCGCCCTCCCTCGTGAATAAGTGAGGGGTAGTTGTTACCCCTACTCGTTCATCAAATAAATAGTAAATAAACAGACCACACCGTGCTCAAAAGTCCTTTTATTTGCAAGAAAAAACCCACAACACAGTTGTTGACAATTCTTTTATTCCACACGTAATCCCCAGGTTAATAACGCCGCCCAAGTGATCCTCGTCCATCAGGAAGCTCACCGACTCGCTGAAAGAAAAAATAAAGGACTTTTGAGCACGGTGTGGTGTGTTTTGTTTACTATTTTACTTTTTATTTGATGAATGAGTAGGGGGTAACAACTACCCCTTACCCATTCACGAGGGGTGGGGGGCGAGATCTGGGTGCCCCCTTTATGAAAGGGGTACCCAGATTCTGATAAGCCCCCCCCTGCCCACAGAACCCCACAACCACCGGGGAAGAAATCAATCGATCCCTGTAAGGCTACATCAGTATAGCATTTTAAGGGTAAGAATTCAGATTACTATTCCTGCCAATTGGTGACTGGTTCTCTGTGTATACACTGGAGGAGATGTCCAGTGTTACCCATGTCAACCACCAATAGTTACAGCCACTGAATTTGCGCTGCCAGTAAGTAGAGCACTTAAGAAACCTTTCCAGTTTTTTAAATGACCTTAATTACTATGCAGACTCATCCTGCTG